AATTTTTCGCAGACGTTAACGATCTGACGATTGAGAAATGGCCACCATATATATTCCGAAGCGTCCATCATGGCCGCCTGGCCTGGATGCGAGCGATGAAGTCGAATCAAAATAGCACTTCGTAATTTTTCGGGTATAACCAATTTGTTATCTATCAGGACACAATTGTTCACCACCACCGCCTTCGTCCAGAATTGGGCCAAGTACGCCCCCAGTTTGTTAAAGGATTGCACATCCTTATTGATGATCGCAGTCCTCATCGGTCCGAGGAACGGATATTCTCCTGTCAGTTCTCCCAGCAGATCCACATCGAACAATCCTGGCAATCCGACCACCTTCTTTTTGTCCTGAGTAACCAGCGGTTTGTGGTTATTGATGGCATTAACCCCCATTCTAAGTATCTCTCCCTGTCTGGCCTGTCTCGTTAGCCTCTGCCTCCGGCACTTGTCGAGGAAGTGAAAACGAAACGAAACGTTCTCGAAAATGCCTCAGCCTGGCAAGGTTGCGGGTACGTATCTGATCAATACGGCTCGGGCGATTCATAGGGCGAACTGTAAATAGTCCGGGTCTTTGTTGACTTGAGGTACGAAAATTAGGGAAACTGGTAGAAAAATTTTCAACAAAAGTAGTGTTTTGAGCAAGATTAATTGAAGTATCCATATCGTGACTGAATTCTGAGATGTAAGGTCGGAGACAATGAGTTTGAGCAAAAACTTCCGGTTTAGCGTATCTCATTTGCATACTGCGCTGTGATTGGTCGAGAGTACCAGAGCATGAAAAGTCGACCTCTCGCGACGATGATATGTACTCACGATTTTGCATATGGGCATATGATTGGCTGGTTGACTGAGAGCATGAATTAACGCCCTCTATCGGCGAGGAATTATGACGATAAATTAGCATATCCTTTTGAGATTGGTTAACAGGTTGAGTCTTATTCGCGACGCCCTCTGGAGACGACGAACTAAACTGTTTGACAAAATGTGATTGGCTAGATGAATCAAACGTTGATTGGTCCGTTGTTTTAGTTATGAGGTAGCTAATGTTGCCTCCAGTTTTACCCAACGATCTGATTGGTTGAAATTGGTTACGATATGAAATTTGCCCCACCGGCACTATTTGAGGTTTGGATTGAGTACTAATCGAATTTAAAGCATTGTGAAAAGCTTGAATAGATTTAATGACAAATAATTCATCATGCGATGATGGTAACGGTGCTTCAAAAGTCGGGTATCTAGACATATAGTCGACAATACCGAGGGAGGAACCGGGTATATGTTCGATTTGATAATCGAACGGAATAAGGCGGGGTCCGCCCAGCGAGAGAGTCGTGACTGATAAGATTTCTTGCTATACGTTTCATTGAGGGCGGAAATAATGGCCTTATGATCGGTTAGAAAAACAAAGCGTTTACCAAGTAAGTATGTACGGAAATGTTCACACGCCCATACAATAGCCAGAAGCTCTAACTCATTGGTACTATACTTGACTTCCGCGGAGTTTAGAAACCTAGAGGCAACCGCAATCGGGGCCCAAACATTTGGCTCCACTTCTTGTTCCAAGCAAGCCACCAACCCGCTATGACTTGCATCACATTTAACTCGCGAAGCTTTCGAAGCATCATAGTCAAACAAAATAGGGATGTTTGCGATGAGGTTTAAAATTTTCTGAAACGCAATATTTTGCTCTTCCCCCCACAAAAAGGATTTCTTATTCTCCGCTTTTAACGAAGCTCTAAATGCGACTGTATATTTGTGCAAAACCGGGATGAAACGTTGAAGATGATTGAGGGTCCCCATAAACGATCTTAACTGTTTAAGGGTTTTTGGTGGCAACAGGGATTTGATGGCTTCTATTTTTGAGAATTTCGGAGCGTAACCGTTTTCATCAATATCATACCCTAACCAGACTAGCTTGTTAATTGAGAACTCACATTTACTAAGTTTCAACGCCCATCCTTCTTCATCCAATCGATTCATGACTCTTTCGACTAGTACATTATGATCTTCAACTCTTCCTTTAGTGACAACCACTATATCATCGAGGTAACAAATGATGCCTTCCAATCCTTGTAAAGTACAGTCCATCGCTTTCTGGAATTCCGTAGGCATATCCGTCAGTCCGTAGAAACCAGTCTTGAATCGATAGGTGCCTGTTGCCTCTCCACACAAAATACTTAAGTTACAATGACTACAGGTTAGCTCCGATAAAGGTAATTGACTGAGAGCGTATTTAAGGTCAAGAGAAGTAAACCACACTTCCCCAGGTATGTCTCTAGTTATGATTTGAGCCGCCGAATCAATCAATTTATGCATATTAGGAATTTGATATTTATTTTGCCAGATTTGGGCATTCATGGGTTTAGCATTCAGCGCGAGTTTTATAGACCCATCTTTCTTTGCTCTTAGGACTATGGGCGCGATGAAATGATCCGTAGTACACTTTTCTAATTTTTCAATGTGCTTGTCTTTAATTAACTTTTGCAAATGTATAGGTACTTTTCGGCCTTTAACTTGTCTAGGCACCAAAGGGTCTTTAAAATTTGTGAATACTTTATGGTTTTTCGACCTCCCCAGCCTGCTGAACACATTAGGGTACCTTTTGACAAAATGATCCCTCCAGAACTGTGATGTCGGGTCCAATTCCTGCTCTTCCTCCGCCAAGCTAACTTCTGCCGGTCTGCGTTGCACCTTTTCAATTCCTAATTTCTCATGAAGGTTCAACCCGAGTAGATTCCGAGTACGATTTTCGGAAACCAAGAAATACGCATTCTCGATTTTCTACTCCTTCGACGTAATAGGGATTTCTAGAGAACCGAACAGTTTAATTGGTTTCCTGTTATAGTCAACATAAGTAACATCTAATGGGTGCCTCGGTCTCGCGATGTCATTAAATTTAACGTTGGGAATCCGCTTCATGAGTATATCCGCCGTTTTCTTGTTTAAGAAAGACACGGGACAAGAAGGAGTTACCAGAACGTAACTGAATGCTGAGGCTCCTTGGTTGTCCTCCCGCTGCCTTTAGAAGTTCTACATTGTTAATCTGCACAACGTCTATCGCCATGACCCCATATTCCGGCTCGCTGTCACCATTCACGTCAATTAAATTGCACTCTTGATCTGTAGCCATCTCTTCATTTTGTACCATGTTAACGCGTCGTTTTGTAGTGTTACACACCTTAGCAAAATGACCCTTCTTTTTGCAAGCATTGCAAGTAGCTTCTCTGGCCGGGTACGACCGGCGATGTTCAAGAGAAAACGGGTTACCACAAAAATAACATGGTTTATTTTGATTTTGTCGTTGGTTAGGACGGTTTACACCTCCTCCCCGGCTGCTATTTCCTTGATTCTTGAAGTGTTGTACTCACAAAGTTGGTTCCTGCTTGACTCGAATAGAGTTTGTAGTATTAGAAGTAGCGTTGTTATGCGAGAGCAATTTCTGAAATTGTTCTGATGTTTTAGCCCCTTTCTCATTCTCCAAGGCCAGTTGTAGGGTATCATCAAGATTAGCTTTTGCTCTGATTAATTGCCTCTGAACCTCCACGTCGCAAATCTTTCAACGTCCCTCTTTCCTGATCGATCGGCCAATTACACAGCGCAGTTTGAGCGCTAAGTCGGGCGTAAAATGATGAGAATGAGTCATTATCCTGCATGAAAATTGTATTATATAACTTAATCCTTTCGACTGTGTAGTCCCGCTCTGCCTTGAAAAGATCTTCGCAGCACTTGTGAAAATCAATGAAAGAGCTAGTATTGAGGTCCAGGTGAGAGTAAGAATCCAAAAATCGTTTTTTCCTTCATTTCCCAGTGCGAAGAAAAGTCGGGATTTTAAACGCGCCTCTGCCTCATGGTACACCAGTTATGTCCAATGCGAGGTCCTTTCCTTCTCCTCTCTTGATTGTACTCATCGATTCTTCTATTAGCTGCTGCAACTCGGAGGTTCCTATTGGTTAAATCTGCTGCACTTTCATCAGGCCCCGGTGCTTCAGGCTTCGGGTAACGTTCATCCACTAACTCTGCTGGGGCAACTAGTAACTCCCCGGTGAAATATTGTCTTTGAGACTCACGGCCAAAAAAAACTGTCCCACCCAAGTCTCCCAAATGAAAGGTAGGTTAACCGATGTTTTCGCCCAAAAGGGTGGTATTCCGAGTAGGTCAGTCCTGTCTTCATTCACAGGAACTGCTGGCTGCGCCATGAGATTTCCCTCAGTTGGAGTAGGGAAAACGGGATTGTAAAAATTAAATATTGAATTAGCTATGATATATAAACAGATAGAATAGAATAATGTATATATGAATAACGATTCCAGATTGAATGTATTGTTTGAATGTCAATAAAGTTTTACGACTAGAATTCACACTTAAGGCTTTCGCAAGTGACCGCTTCAGGTTCTCAAGTGACAAACGATTTGGCTGGTGAGATTTGTCCTTGAATCAATTTACTGCACTATAAGTAGATAATTAAGACATAGTTAAGTAAGACATACATAAGTAAATAGAATAGAATGAGGTACCGAAGGTCGCCTCATGACACTTCTAGGCTACGTGTGAGATTTGTAATAAAAATAATAAGGAGAAAAACGCCTAGTTGATGTATGAAAGACACTTGCTCTCGTTAGTGCAAAAATAATAGCAAAAACTGTATTTCCATTCACTTACAACATCCCAATTTGAACTAAGGGCACAATAGAGAATTTGGGAATACTCCGCTTAACTTGGGCCGCTCTTGCGAAGAACAAAAATGACGGATGTTATTGAAGCGACGTCTATCGACTTCAGACCTATTTTTCGTTTTAGCAGGCTTTTGCTGTTATCCATAACTTTTATAAATTTTCGGAGTCAGTAAAAATTTGGGCACGTATATACCAAAAACACTTGAGTGTTGTCCGTACAGGGGTGCTTAAACCTCAAAGCATTCAAAAATAAACACAGTTCACTTCAAGTACCTAATCATAATGTCATGATCACTTCTGACAAAGTTTACAACACAATTTAACTCACTGTCCTGTATCTTCCTGTCCAATCCCAGTCGAAACGACTCCTCCTTTGGACCCACTCCCAGACACAGCAACATCCCCCTCCCCATTATTAATTGACACTTGGGAAAACCCACTGACAATCGTCGACTGGTCTGGAACTACCGCTACCGTTGGACGTAAAGAAGGGTTAAACTGGAGCATGGAGAGAGCCAGGGCTGATGAATGGGAGGTCGAGGAGTTCGAGAGCTGGGTGCGGGCTAGGTGGATTGAGCTTTCGGCTAGCACGTCATCCAAGACAGTCCTGCGACTCATGAGCTCCTCGCATACTTCCAGGAACTCGATGCATATGCTGTCCAGAATTTCGTCCAAGCTGCTCATTTCATTTGTTTGCATTCAGAATATGTTCGATTATCTGAAGAGAAAAAATTTCTGGTGCTTTAATCAAATTTTAAAATGTTTACAAAAACCAAAGAGTATCCTGAGAGCTCAAAAATGAAATGCCTAAGTCCTAGGTAGTCAAAATTTCGGGTTCGAAAAAGTGAATTACTCAATTATTCTTAGCAAACAAAATTATACAAATCTAACAATCTATCTTCCGCTAAAAAAAGAGAACAGAACTTTTGTTAGCTTGTAGACGTTGAATCTTCCGCTTTAATTTTGGCCGCTTCTGCTCTCAGAGTAGTCACTACCGATGCAAGTGCTTCTGGGTTGATGCCCATTTCTAACAGCTGCACACATATGATGAGTATCTCTTTATCCAGTCCTGTGTTGAGTAGTCTGGACATTTCCATTAGGATTTCGACAGCTTCTTTAGCAGACCCCGAATTTCCAAATTCAGAAGTCATCATAAAATCTGAGATATATTCTTATGCTTAATGCACCATTTATTGAGATCAGTTCATTAGCTTAAATTTAAAAAAAATCTGAAATTTTTTGAATAAAATCAACAACATTTTTTAATATTTATTCAAATTAACTAATTATTGAAAGTTGCGACAAACGCAGAACTTTAGTCTCTAAAAAATGAAAACGGGAGGAATTTAGTTCAAGTAGCAGTTGTAGTTAAGAAACGTTCCTTTGTTAGGTCACAGCTTTACCACTTCCGGTATAGGAAAAAGCACTACACCAATATTGTGGCAAGGTCGAATTATCGTACAACTAAATGCAAAGATAACTACTTCTAGAGCATTTTTCTTTAAGATATTTTTGAGTTGTAAAGCTTTCTAGTTCAGATTTTATAAAACGACTTTTTTTGATTAACCAAAGTCTAGAATTGCAAAATAAAAAAAAATTAGGCTATAAATCATTAATTACAAAATTTGGAAACTTTGTTCCATTGTGGAAAACTATACTGTACAATGTTTTTAAAAGATCAACATTTTCAACTGCGAATTGTGATATAGATTTAGTACTGCCAAGTAAGTTATCCAATAATTCTGAGCACTCATTCTGCAACCTGAGGTCAATTTGTTTCATCAAGAGGTCAAAAGAACTAGCAAACTCGGTTACTTCACTCTCTGATACCTTTTGCAGAAGGTCACATGTTATATTAGTTGGTTTCGCTCCATCGTGAAAACACTTTAGAAGCCGCAATTCGTTCACGAGTTGTTCGCCATTATATTTTGGATCTATAGATGAATCTTGTTGTTTTAGTTCAGCTAGCTTCTTTTTAAGAACGTTTAGCTTGTTACTCATATGCAATCGTATCTCTTTTGAAAAATTAGAGCTGTTTATACATGATAAAATTTCAATTTCTAACTCATCAATCTTTGACCCGAGAGAAATCAGCTCCTCGGAAGCGGAGTTTCTGGCAAAGTTCGATTTCATACAGCTTTCCAATTCGTTGCATGACTTTTCAACTTCCACAGAAGTGTTTATTTTTGAATATTTAACCAACTTGGACTGTATTTTCATTAAATCTTGAAGTACATTTCTGTCGACCAAAACTTCCTTAATTTTTTCTTTTCTCGACCGTTTCGGAGGCCATTCCATTGCTTTTCTTTCTGGATCCAACTTGGGTAACCTCTTGTTAGAAGTTTCCTCAATTGCAGTCGAATTTACAAGATCGGGTGATTTGAGTGTAAATTCAGCGTCTAAACTTACACTTAGCTGGTCGCTAGCAGTGGATAGCGAATCACTAACCTCGTTTCCTTCTGAAAACAGCTTTTTAAAATTAGTTGAATGATTTCGTAATACTGTATCCCTTGAAACATAGACCATTGACTCTTTTGACGGCCCTTTATCCTTAGCACCGTGGTTTGATGTTTCCGCGTCTTTTGATTTATTATAAGACTGTTTTAAATCCCCCTTCAAGAAACCATTTCGTGAATTTGAATTTCTTGTTTTTGAATTTGAATCTAACGTTGCTCCTGCCGATCTATAGCTTGCAAGATATGTAGTTTGATACCCTTTCGTTTTCGAAAGAGGCGGGGGCTTGTACGCTTTTCCTCTCTGACGAGCTGAAACCGGTGGCTCAGTTTTCTGATTTAATTTCAAAATGGCAGTTTTCTCTTTTGATTTTTTAATTTCTTTTTTCTTCTCTTCTTGTGCAGTTAATGTTTCATTAGCTAGCAAAGTTAAATCTTCATTATCTGAAATTGCTTCCAAGTCGCTGTCAAAATCCAGTTTGCAATGTTTAATCCTAATCTCAGAGGATTTTTTTATTACATCATCCAAATATGACTCCAGTTCAGCTGTTGACGATGCACCATTTTGTTCACTTTCCGAAGTTCCCTTAAACTCTCCTTTATCATTTTTCATAAGCTCCGCTTTTTCCGATTCTTTTGCTTTCTCCTCTATTTCATGTTCCAAAGTAGACCAGAGAATTCGATACCTTTTTACTAGTCTTTCAATTTCTTTATTTAAATTTATGAGAGCATTCGTCAAAGCTTCGTTCATCTAACTCTGAAAAAAAAATACTTCAATTTAGAAAAACACTGACTATTTTAGTGCAATAGAGAGCCAATTCTACCGCTTCATTAAGAGCAAAATTATAAAGCAAGCAATCGAAACGCGAAAAAAAAACAGAAAAATAGACCAATTGAAAAACAGTTTTTGTAGAAAATGACTAGAAAAACAAGAAAAAAATCGTTTAAAACTTTCAAATTTTTCAATTTGAAGGTAAATTTTTTTTTGGAACTTTCGATTCCCAAAACGGTGCTAAAAATCCAAAAACTATCTTTACTCGATTAAAACTAAGTTTTCACGACCCAAATTAGGCAATGCTAGGAATCCTAATATTCGGATCAATCGCCATGTGACGAAAGTAAAACAGTTTGTACTGAAAACAGAGGTTCCCGAAATTTGGAATAGAAAGCACAAAATGCTTCCAATTTGATAGTTTTAAATCCTCAAGATCGGGTTATTAAATACTCTTCCAGTTTTTAATTTGAGAATCTAGTTAAATACTGATTCAGTTATTATATCGTTTGTATCAAAAACGACTGCTTAAACATCAGATAGAGATAATTTTAGCAGAAAAATGTTACGAACTATAATTTTTGTCTATAAAAATGTTATGAAGTATAAATCTATGGACTATGAAAATCCAATCTTCAGTTTTAAGGTTTGAGAGTAATTTAGACCGGTCGCATTTTGTAGAAGAGGAAGTTAGAAGAGTAGGTTAACAATCGGGTGTTACTTTCCTCTTCTATTAGGGGTACTAAAAGGATTGCATGGAGGGACACGTTATAGGTAAAAGTTCGGTAAGGTCTAGGCGAAAGCTGGATGCTGGCCAGGAGCTTGAGAGAAGTTGAATGCCCCATCTCGCCCATTTTATTAAACGTATATCATGCAGAGTCCATGAGAGGAGCGAAAACAGCGCGGAAGATTGATGCTTAAAGAAGTAGATTAGAATGCGGACTGGAGTGGAAGTGGATGCCGGGAGGGAGCCTCTCGCCTAAAGACACCCAGAGAGTCCTCCGGAGCAGCAATAAAGTGCCTTTCGCGCTGGAGGACTCACTTTTTTCCGATGACTCCACTCTCGTAGGAACAGAGATAGAACTGAAGACGGGAAAGGCAGTAGTAAAGTAGAGAATGATAGACTTTGGAAAAAATGCCACGCTGGTAAGGAGGATTCCATCACTTTTGCAACAAAAAATGCCCAGAACACCCGGATGCTGGGAACAAGGATAAGTAAACTTGAGGACAGTGCAGTTAGGGTAAAACGAGATTTCCACGCCTGAATTAAAGTAAAGCGTTAGCTTTGGAACTCTAACGTATCAAAGAGAACCCGTGCAATCATAGTTCAGGCAGCGGTCGAATCAACCATGTTATTCGACTGCAGCGTAATGGCATGGCCACCGACGGACATTTATAAGTTTCAGAGTGTAGCTGACAGAGCGTAGATTCTTGTGGAACAACAGTAAGCCCAGAAATCTAATAAAGAACGCAAGAGAGGATTAATAGCTTCGAAATTAGACTCCAGTTGGGAGTAGAGTTCATGCGTACCAAAATTGAGATAAGGGCCCCACAGATAATGGAGCATATACTCAGGATGCTTAATCAAAGAGTAGCAAAAAAGGCGGTCCTAGGGTCTTGGAACAAAGAGAGAACCAATAAAGGTACGACTCGGGGCAATACCCTTGGCTATTGGAGAAGGTGAATGAGGGAGGCGGGACTCGAAGATGACAACTCGGAGAATCTGACAAAAGACAGGAAAGTGTGAAGAGGAGTGGTTAAGCAAAGGAACGAGTGTCTAAGGGGTTGGGAGAACGAAATGTGTAATTGGCATCGGGGGAACAATAAGCCAATTAGATCTAAATGTGTCAGGAGAAAACGGAAATTATCAAATGAAGGTGGCCTTGTAGGTGGGAAGGGTGCGGGAGAATCTGTGCCTCGAAAGGGGGAGAACGAACCATGAGAGACTGGTACATAGGAAGTAAGACGTTCAGTACGTGTGCCCAGAGTGCTCTGGCCCTTTTGATAGCCAAGCCCCCTTACAAACAACTACAAACTATGCCAAGAGGAGAAAGTGGATACTGCCAGAAATGCGACAGGACCCTCTCAGCAACAAACAGTGCTAGACACAGAAGAACCTGCAGGTGAACAGGACACACGAGAGAAGCCGAAGAACGAAATGGTAACGGGTAGGTAAGAGGAGAAAAGGGAAAAGATCACTTGCGTGAAATATGGAACGCATATCACCACGAACAACATGTCGAGAAGCTTGCCTTAGGAGACAGGGTCAAAGGTCCCCACAGGGGACGTAAATGGAGACGAGACGAGTAAGGAACAGTTTTGATTTATAATCTAGCGAAAAACTGAAACATTCCGCAAAACACACCTTTGTTGCCGAAAACGCAATTCTCCGCCGGAATCGGCGCCAACAACTAGCTAAGCTATGCATAACTAAGCTATAGTGAACCTGCTTACTCACCTTACTCGCTCGAAATTAGAGCAAATATCAG